TATATGAAAAGTTCAGATAAAAGTCTTCGTATAAAAACACTTGCACACAAACACACACACACATATATATGTTTTATATTCGAAATTCTTAATACAAGGCTAGCATGTATCTACATGTAAAAGACTAGGTACCAAAAACAATATGAATTTTGTACTTATCTGTTTGGTTTGTCACGAGCCTGAAATGAGTGCGTCCTGTTTCTGTAACTTCACGGAGCAAAAAGAGAAAGATTGACTTTCCGCCTAATGATGTCTCGTGTGTGTCTCGTCGGGTTAGTGATTGTTTTTTTTTTTTGCATTCTCGTGAATATTTATAATTAATTTTTACTATTATTTTGCTTGAATGAAGAGGAGATTGTAGTGGGACCTCTAGAGGAGGTGTGATATGAAATGGCCTGCGCGCCCAATTAAGGATAGTCACAGGAGGACCACAAACGTTTAATAATAAATAGACGTGAATTCTGACAGGTCGACAAGAGAACGACAAAACAACAAACTTATTAATGCAAAATTTATTTACATTATATGCAAAAGGAGTGTTTCGATTAAAGGAGCATAAACAAACTATGAATCAAGTAATGGAGGCAGAAATAAGTAAATGAAGGGATACTGAACAGCTAGAAGATCTTGATAATATAGCTGTGACTAAATGTTAAAAGTAGAGTCCAGGTAAGTTAAGTTAGCATGATAAACCACAGTTTGAAAATTCAATTCAAATGTCTGGCGAAACTGTTGAATAGTTACTGGTTAAGTGCAATAAAGAACCTTCCGTATTATTTAACCGAAGTGTACGGAATAGGTTGTTTGAAGCCTGAACGATAAAGATGCAACTTTTTAAGCCAGGTCAGTAAGGTGGACAGGAAATGCTGGAAATTGATAGTTGAAACTAGGCCGAAATAGCTTCATTGTCCTGTGCAGGCATTGATGAAATCCGTGATGAAGCGGCGAGAAACTATTAGCCAATGTTGCATCAATGTCCGGGTAGTTTGCTGGTTATGTTCAATAATGAACCTTCCGTAGTATTTAGCCAAAGTGTACGGAAATAGGTCGTTTGAAATCTGGTCGATATGCCTGCAGCAACTTCCTAAACCAGGTGAGTTAGGTTGAGATTGGAATGCCTGAAGTAGGGACCGTAGCCGGAAGTTCAGGGCAGTTGTAAGCAGGTCCATTAACGCAAATTAACCAAGTGAGTAAGGTTGAATGCCGGAAGATAAGGGTCTGTGGTAGCTGGACGCAATACAGGCCAAGAATACCGGAAGTAAGAATCTGTGGTAGCCGGAAATAATAAAGGGCAACAGATCCGGACGTAAGAGTGGACAGGAAAGCCCAACCAGCGTCCATTTAGCAGACAAAAATAAAAGGGCATGTAACTCAATACATAACTTGTCAATGCGACCTGGCTGCAATGGTCAGGGGCTGCGATTCTCCCCCTCTCTTGATTCTATTTACCAACCTCCCCACGAGGCAAGGTGTGTTACGAGGCCAGTTTTTAACATGGGGCGTTCCGAGCCCCTAGGTTCGGGCAAAAAATGCCCGTAGACTCCATATACACAGGGTCGAATTTGTCTACCTCACCAAACGAGAAAGGTATAAAAATGTTCACAAAGAGTATTTAGATTAAGTTAGTAATAATCGACCAATTAAAAAGAAATTAGGTTGATTATAAATCTAAATAAACTTGCTATATTAAATTGAAAGGAGTGGGGTAAGGCAATGAAGAAAAGGTCAAGGTCTAGACGAAAATACTGTGTCGGCCATGATTACGTGATCGGAGTAGCAAAGAGCTACGAAAAGATAACTTTTTGTCTCTCGCTACACATTCTTCGATGCTTTTCTTAATTACAGAGTTTTCAAGTCATTACTTGAACAAGTTTCGGATGTTCAGTCACTTGGGGGTACTAAATCTTTTGGTGGTTTACTTGTTCTTCTTGACTGCTTCTCCAAATGACTTAGGGTTAAATTTAAATGGCTTATATTGGAGAACCCTCATGTTAGGGTTTGAAATAACTAATTAATGATCTATCTATAAGTTCCAATCATTTACTTCCCAAATTTGGCTTGTTCAATTTCCTGTTCAGTTCCATTGTAATTCTCGTCTACTTGTAAAATCTAAATTATTACCTAGACTGAGATTTTAGTTTTTTCATATTAAACCTACAAATTTGATCCTGTATCAACCAATTACCAATTGTAGATTTCTTTTGCTTGTAAAATCCACATCAGTAATAATGCCACCTTATGATCGTTGTCATAAAATGTTACGTGAATGAACGCTTGAGCAAAGTACGATCTCACGACAATTTTACCTGCCTAATCAATAGAATGTTATATTCTTTTGTCAATCTTGACAAGGATTCAGTCAACCAATTAAACGTTCCTTTATTCTAATAGCAATACAGATGTAAAGGAATGTATACCTATGTATTATACATCATGCAAATATGTTTGACAAGGTACGTCACAAAAACTGTTAGAACTGCTAGGTAAGGTTGATTTCGTTGAGAAGGATATTAAAATAATCCAGTGCCTATACTGGTAGCAAACCGCCTGCATAAGGATAAAAAATGAATTCAGTAAATACGCAAAAATAGAAAGGTGTGTAAAACAAGGATGTCTTCACATTGAACTTATTTACAGTGAAGCAGTCCTGAGAGAATTAGAAGTCGTACCAGAATTTTTTATGGGCGCCCACAATCTTAGCAACATTAAATATGCAGATGACACAGTGTTGATAGTAGACAGAGAAAGGAAACTATAAGAACTTTTACATAAGGCAGTGAAGATATAAGAAATTTAGCTAGGGCACCTCGAGGCGGTGTAATGGTTAGCAAGCTTGTCTCGCTAGAACTATTACGACAGAGTAGTGAGTTCGATCCTCACTGGGTGCACCCATACTTTCGACCTTGTGCCACATCTAAGCTACGCTTGGAAAATCGCTATAAGAAATTTAGCTGGGCACCTTGGCGTGGTGTAATGGTTAGCAAGCTTGTCTCGCTAGATCAGTTACGACTGAAAAGTGAGTTCGATTCTCACCAGGTACCCCGTACTTTCGGCCTTGTGCCACATCTAAGCTACGCTTGGAAAATAACTATAAGAAATTTAGCTTTAGAGAAAGCAGACGCTTTGATACGTTTAAATTTCAAAATATGGTACGTGAAAAAAGTTTGAACAAAGTAACTATAAACAAAATTTTTTTTTTTTTTTGCTTTCCTCTGCCAGTCGCAATGATGGAGAAAGCATTACCTCGCACCATCGCCAGTGAGACACGCTGCAAGAGCCACTCCGTTTCGCGAGGCTCGTCCCTTAATCGAAACGCCATCCCGCCATCCCGCCAACCCTCCGAAGGAACGCCTCAGGTGTAAAAAAAAAAAAATAAAATAAAAAATCTGTCAGCAAGAGAAAAATATTTAACTATTTTTTTTTATCTCTGCATCCCGGGCGACAGACCCCAGCTCAACCGCGGACCTGATCAAATTACCGGTCGAAAATGTATCAGCACAAGTCGCATCCCAAATCAACGACTTCCCCGTTTTAAAAAGGAAAATGGTACATTCTAATTGATGATAAAACCACAGCGTTTGTTACTACATCCAAACTAATTAAAGAGATTCCCTCCATATTTGCTGCTCTGCGAGGAGCTCGTTTGGAGCCTATCTGTTTGGTATATAAGGACGGCCTTGGAATTGTTAATCGGAGTCGACAACAAACTGACAGGAATTCGGGTTGCCACGGTCTAGAAGGAAGACGACGCATAAAAATTTGGATTACCCATCGGCGCTGACGATAATTGAAACAACCTGGTCGCTCTCACCACAGAGAAAAGTCTTCGGCTGGTGTGGTTAATCTAAATCTTCGATGTTACCACAAGAAAAAAAAAAAACTAATTTTCTTCATACAAAAAAGTGTACCAAATTTTCTCACTGGAAAATATTCAGAGAAGTGTTTCTCTTTTTCTTTATTAAATGTAGTTTTCCCTTCGGAGGACCTTCTTATGCTAACAACAGTTTGCTAAATTTGTAAAAAGTGCTAAATTTAAAATCTATGCAATAATTATTTTATCTGTAAAAGGCCATGTTCATTTTTATTGTATTCGGCAATCCTAAGGCACACAATGTACTAAAAATTTGTGTAAAAATCCTTTATGTGTTGCTATGAATAAATTTCATCGTAACTTTTTAAAACTCTATGTCATTTGTTGTGTGCCGATAATTGTTATTATTTCAAGAATTAATTGGAAATATTTTTTCGTGCGATTTTTTTTTACTAAAAAATCTTTTAAAGGAAAGCAATAAGAAAGGACTAAAAATCAATTGCAAGAAGACGGAATGCATGGTTTTTAGCAAAAAGGAACAGCCCAATATGCAAATAACAAATTGAAGATACTAAAATAAAAAGAAAAGAAGGCTTGGAAATTTTAGCACTCACAAGACATATTGAAGGCAAGACGGACAGGAAGAAAGCAAATGCATAATCTACCTAACGAGCTTGTGTAGTTGGTCAACCAAGGATTAAGAAATAGAACAAAAAGACAGCCTTTACTAAGGACTAAAAAGGACAGGAAATTGTGGAGAGTCATGATCGCCCACATTCTGAAGGACACGACACATAAAAGAAGAAGAATTTAAATTTAGATTAGCCCACGTTGTTGTTTTTCTTACGTTTAAATTTTTACATCTGATATCAAAATCTGAAAAATTTCGTAGGGGAGGTAAGGACACCAATCAAACAATTTTATAAAAGGTACTCCTGATGAAACAGTGATTATGGATGAGCATAGATAAAAATATTTTGTTTATTTATTGGAAATCTCCACAAACACGCACGCAATAGACACATTTATTTATTTGTTTACTGTTTTTGTGTGTGGCTGGGTAGGGGATCAACTAGTGACAGTTGCGCCACAGCAAATTACAAGTGCCGCTGCTACTTTTAACTGGTAAAACATCCTAATTCATATCTCCTTTGCCGGTCAGACGACGTATTCGGCTGTCACTGGGCAAATGAAGTTCCGACGTCGGTTCTTCGTCAAACTGATGGCCGTCGCGGTCGGATTTTTATTCGCAGTGCCTCTTATGCTATATTATTTGGATGAAAACCAGAACACGTGGAAACAGCAGTCGTTAAAGCAGCTCTTAGCAAAGGTACGTGAACTCAAAAACTATTTAATTATTTTTCAAATTTTTATTTTTCGTAGTTCCTCCACCACCACCACCAAAAAAAAAACGTTTTTTTTCTCGTTTTTGCTTCCTAGTGTAAAGCTTACTTGACCCACTCAAAATCATTTGAAACAAATAAATATACCCTTTGGTGGTAAGTTATCTATTTCATTCTGTTTAGTTTCTATCTCATTCATATCGATCTTTCTTATTCTCTATCTCATTGATCTGCCTTATTCTCTACCTATCTACAATACATGAGAGAGAAAGAAAGAAAGAAATGCGTTAAAAATCTTGTTTGAGGAGTTTTTTTTCTTACTTTGTAAAAATCAGCGGTTTTTTAAATAAATAATTGGGAATAAACAAAATTTTACTTTTCCCTTTATTTTGCTCCTTTTATTTTCTAGAAAATTATAGAAGAATTTTCTTCCACATCGCACTTTTCCCCAACTTCATGGCTTATTTGAAAAGAGAAAATACTTTTTTTTAAAGTTTTTCTTTCAAAACTCACAATCGGATTTAATTTTATGAAGCTTTGAACGTCAGTCACAATATGAATAATAAAAAAATCTATCTCTCTTGGTTTTCACATTTTTAAAATTATTAAATCGATTGTGTACTTTTTCGGTCTTAAAAGGAAAAACATGTTTGTAAAATATCCAGATTTTTACTTTAAGACATTTTTTCAAGTCTAGACGGGTAAAATTACAACTTTAGTACTTAACCTAATATCGTAAAAAAAGTAGTTACATTTTTATTTTAAATTTTTTTATATGGCAAGTAAATTTTCAATTTCTCTTAATTTTTTTGCTGAATGTTGGGAAAAACAAAAATATTCAATAACTGTAGTGTACGACATGTAATGTATTTTTTAATTGCATTTTTGAATTCAAGAACTTTAAATTTCTATTTTAAAAGAAAAAAAATATCTTGTTTTAGTTTTTGTGTGCAAAGTTCTTTTTTCCTAATTGTTAAAAAAATATAATAAAATGGCCACGTGTACTGATTTGATATCTTTATCTTTCAATATCTTTTTTTTTTCACATATAACTTGGCACACCTGTTGTTAAGACTCGTTTTTATCATTATGCCCATTTGTTGCATAATGTGGATTTTACTAGTATAATAAAGGCAATAGGCAGTGAAGAAATCTCTTGGACATTGGCAGAAATTAAAAAGAACTTAACAGCATTACCAACTGAGCCATGACAACGGCTATATTTTTTTTCTTTCTTTTGTTTGATTATTTTCCCATTTTGTGTGTTGGTTCGGACAAATGAATCTCTTATTTTAATTATATTATTTCTTAGTTTTTCTTGCACCGTTTTCTTACTGTGGGAGTTCATTGACATCATAGCAGCAGAAATTAGCCTCGCGTTCACGGAAAAAAGCATCCTTGATAGAAAATAAAACGCACAGAAACCACAGGAAAGCACGGTAAATTGTATGTTATTTTCATACAATTTATTTATATCTTTGTGTGTGTTGGCGTGTGTATTTTTTAGGTCACAATTGTTTTATGGTACATGTGATAAAAGGGAGAAATTTACTATAGTATTACAGGTCATATCAGAGAGAGGAGTTGGACACGTGTTGCCTGTTACCAAGGTTCTTGGTGAAGAGATTGAATTTAACGTCTTTTGGCAGGATGTCCGTAGTTTTTTGCATGCTAGCAGTATTTTTATCTTTATTTTAAATTTAAAAAAAAATATTATTGTTTTATTTTATTTTATCTATAATTTTCATTATTATTATTATTTTATATTTTATTTTTATTTATTTATTTATGATAATAATAATAATAATAATAATAATAATAATAATGTCCCTACAATACCACCACTGATTCGTAAAAAATTAACATACCGTGATGAAAAAATGCCGCAAACCTAATAAAAACATAGTTTTATTATCAAAATCTCAATTAGAGCAAAAAACAAAGGATTTTTTATCCCTTTTAGAACGTTCAAAATTTTGGTTTAAAAATCTCTTTTTTGACAGCAGGGGTGGGGGGATTGTAGTGAGTGTGAAATAATAACTCCCTTTACCTATTTTATTCAAATTCAGAAGACTGAGGAAAAAGAAGGAAAAAATTTGCAAACTTATGTGAAATTTTCTTTGCACCAATGAAAACCTTACCTTCACAGAAATTAGCCAGTCAGCCAAGAAGAACAGAAAATAGCAAGCCTATATGAAATTCTTTTTGACATAAAATGATGAGAAATATTAAATTAATCAGAGAAGAGTGTCAGAAGTCATGTGAAAGGTTTCATTTCAGTTCCTTGCATTGAAGTTATTGCCAGTGTAAAATTAATCACTAATTATATTATTGGCCTCTAACCAGCATGTGGCACTTCAAAGTATTTTCTCTCAACACTCTAAGAAAGCTAAGTATTTCAAACCATCTCTCTATGTCTACTTTTGAATGTATACAAGCCATATATCCCTTCAGTGAGCAACAAACTCTCTTACCTTTGTCTTAAACATTTTTGAAATATTATGTCACATCACTTAATCTTTTGTACAAACATTTCCTCTTCATGACAATATATTAAAACTACAGACTTTTAGTATTCTGATTTATTTTCCTAAAATGAGCTACTGACATTACTTCCAACATGTAAATTCATTAATAAATTCCTTATCTTCTTTTGTTAAAATTACCCATGTGTTTCTTCGTCATTAACATCCTTCATTAATCTTCTTGGTGTGGGTAAATCAACAGTTTATTTTAACCCTTAAGCATGACATCACTATAGGACCAAAGATTAATATAGGAAATTTTAGCATTTTTTTGTGGTGGAAAATGCACTGATTTGGAAATTCCTGCAAAAATCAAATAATTGTCAGATTTAAATGAAACTTTCAGGACTTATTTACAAATGAATTAAAGTATTTTAGAAATCTCTCTATTTTTTTTTTTTTTTTTTTTAGAAAATCTTGGTAAAAATATTTTTTTACATATCTTACCCCCCACACTTCCTTAATTTTAAGAAATTTGAAGTAATCAATTTTTGTGCCATTTAATTTTTATATTGGTTAAAAGTAGAATTCCTTGGAGAATTTAAATCACCAATTTTTTTTTTTCGTAAAACAGGGAAACCAGTTACTGAAAATCTGCTCTGAATTATAAAATAAAAAAAAAATGCAATAAAACTAAGACATTATTTATTTAGAAAAGCTTTTAATTATTTTTATGAATAAGATATATTATTGACACTAGTGTCTTAAAAAAAATTATTGATGAATAATGAATTTTTACAAGAATTGTTTTCATTTTTTAGAAATTTTAATTAGAATAATTTATAAAGTTTTAAATCTTTTAAAATTCTGTCTTAATTTTTCATGGTTAGGTGAAATTATTATTAAGTAAAAACTATATTTCAGTCACTTATGTGCCATGCGTGATACATGCTTAGGCGATCATATATCTTTTGATACATGACTGACGAGGTAGATTTTTTCCCCGCAGTAGGTTGCCATTTCTTTCTGTGGTAGACCAGTTGCCATCCAAGGCTATAGAACCGTCCTGCTATTTACCCATAGCTGGGGGGAGATGAAGAGGATTCATACCTTTCTCAAGGGTATTAGCACATAAATGAATGTAAATGATTTGACCTTGAATTTGAACTCAGCTCTCTGATTTCTCAATCCGAGCCTCTATCCATTACTCCACTGTAGTCATAAATGAAAAAAAACTTAGTACAATTCATCAAACATCAATATTTTAAAAAGAATTTTGAATTTTTTTTTGTATGTGTATAAACATGCTGACTTTTGTAGATATGGTTGTCCATACACAACATTATCAGAAAATAAGAGCAAAGCAAACTAAATTTCAAATAAAACATTAGATTACAGAAAATATTTTCAAAAACATTTTAAAATTTGTTTTTTTAATCATTTCACCCTAGCAAAGCGGGAATGCTACTAGTACACAAAGTGATGCAGTGAGTGAAAGTGAAAGAGAAAGCTGTGAATATGGAGGATTGAGGAAAGGACATCAAAGATGTCAATTACTGTACAATATATTAAGCAATATACGGATAAGACAGTGATGATAGTCTGTTATTGTTTACATGGATGATTTCCAAGCAATGATAAACACGTGCATATAAGACGCTGGAAGCGAAAATCACACTGTAGCTCATGATGTCACACATGACCATGTGAGAGTGAATTCGAGAAGTATTAAGTATGGGAAGCTGTTGGTATAAACCAATAGCTTCTGTTACCAATTATAGACATTTAAGGATATTTGTGGAGATTTCGTAGTTGATTTTGTTTAGGTTAGGTTTCAACTGTTTTATGTATATAGCTTCAAGAATTTTTAGTTTTTGTTTATTGTTTTCATGTTTAACTTAATTTTTTGCTAGGATCTGTTGATATATTAGTATTTACTAAATTTTTTAGTATATTTTCTTGTTTATAATTAGTATGCATTTGATTATGATATAGGAGATTAATATGTTTGAGATTAGTAGAAGCAGTATTATGTACTAATTGCTTAATATTGAGATTTCTAAGAAAGAATCTTATTTGTTCATCAACTATAATCTGTTTTGTGGATGAATTAGTTTCTGCACGATGTATTAGATTCTTTATAATTGCTATTTTGTTGTAAGATGGGCATTCACTCTTGTAGTTAAGTGTACATGAATTTATGCTTGTAGGTTTTTTGTATGGCGAAATAGTAAATTTGTTATTATTTGTGTTTATCAACATATCAAGGAAGGGAATTTTATTATTAGTATTGAGTTCATATGTGAACTTAAGGACAGAATTATTTTGGAAAAGTTTTTGAAGTTGAAGTATTTCATCTGTATTTTTAACTAACATAAGAATTTCATCAACGTATCTTAGGTAGATGGATGTTTTTTTAAAATCTGTAAATATCTTATTTTTGAGGTTCAACATGTAGAAATTGCTAAATGTTGGACCCAGTACTGAACCCATGGAGACACCATCATGTTGTATATATATAT